TCTTTTTTCCTTTTTTTCTTTTTTCCTTTTTTCTTTTTTCCTTTTTTTTTCTTTTTTCCTTTTTTTTCTTTTTTCCTTTTTTTCTTTTTTCCTTTTTTTCTTTTTTCCTTTTTTTTCTTTTTTCCTTTTTTTTCTTTTTTCCTTTTTTTTTCTTTTTTCCTTTTTTTTTCTTTTTTCCTTTTTTTTTCTTTTTTCCTTTTTTTTTACTGTGTCTTATATCAGTTGTATTTTCAAGGAAGATTTTATACAGTTTACTGCCATAAACAATAAATAACAAAAACTTCCCTGATCACACCACCTGCACCCAATACCGAGATGTTAACAAATACTGGAAGCTGATTAAAACTAGTGTCACAGAAAATAAAAATTTCTCCCAATCACACTACCTGCACCAGACACTGTGATGTTAACAAGTACAGGAAACTGAGTAAAACTAGTGCTACAGGACAATAAGAAAACCTCTGCCAATCACACCACCTGCACCAGACCCATAGCCCACACACACTACATATAACTGACACCGAGACAATTTACCGAGACAGAGGAGCCGTTCTCCACACACACTGCGCTCACCAGACTCCGAAACAATTTACTAAGATGTGCGAGCCTGCATGCACCAAACACCCAAATGTGGGACCCGTAGCCCACACACTGTGTGCACCAAACACCTAAATGGTGTACCAAAACACTCCGAAACAATTTGCCGAGACGCACAAGCCTTAACCCACACACACTGCGCTCACCAGACAAACGCCAAAACAACTTACCACGATGTGCGAGCTTCAGCCTGCACACACTGTGTGCACCAAACACCCAAACGGTGAACCAAATGTAAGAGCCGGAGCTCGCTGCCCAAACCCACTGCTGGACGACTCCGCCATCTTATGGGTGCCCCAGCACAGGACATCTCCTGCGGCTTATGGGTACTTTCCCTCTGACCGGTCATTCCCAAAACCGAACCGTGATTTATACCAAACAAATACCTTCAATTTGTCGCAGGAGGTCCCCGTCTGCTCCTACAGCGAGCTGTCCAAAGTGAGGAGTCCCTTCAAGAAAGTCTCGAGGGTGCCCTAGGGAGTCCCTGCCTCCAACGGAGCCTGCAGCCAAGCAGAGGAAGACGCCTGCCTGGTTCGCCAGAACTGATGCTGAGAAAAAGCAGCAGTAGTAAAACTCAACAGCCACAGGTGCTGTTAAGCGGAGAGTGGGCGGTGCTCTATGTAAATCTCGGGACAGGCCTTCTGGCGCCTGCGCACTGCTCTCTGCTGGTCGTCTCAGGTGCTCGCAGGGGAGGCAGTCTCAAAGTCTTCCTCTCTCTGAGCATGCGCAATCCTTCATCATCTTGCCCTGGCGACAGCTCCTCATTGGCTGCTCGTCTGCTCGGTGTCCCATTGGCTGCCCATTTGATACACACTGCTACATTGCACACCCTCCCATTGGCTGCCCCTTCGCGCCACCACGCAGCTTTCCCATTGGCTGCCTCTCGGCAGCTCCCCATTGGCTGCTCACCGGCAACACGGCTGTGCCTGAGCAAACATCACAGGAACCTTAAAACTGCACTTATTAAACTGGGCCAGTTACATGGAAACTTAACATTTTCCCTCATCAATAGCAACAGCATTTTCCCTTATCAAGAGCACCTTCCAGTACCTGGAGGGGCCTGTAGGGAAGCCGGAGAGGGACTCTTTGTCAGGGACTCTTTGTCAGGAACTGTAGTGACAGGTCAAGGAGTAATGGGTACAAACTGAAAGAGGGGACATGTAGCTTAGACATTAGGAAGAAATTCTTTACTGTGAGGGTGGTGAGACACTGGCACAGGTTGCCCAGGGAGGTTGTGGATGCTCCAGCCCTGCAACTCTCAAAAAGACAGGTTGGAGGGGACTCTGAGCAACCAGGTCTAGTGGCGGGTGTCCCTGCCCATGGCAGGGAGGTGGCACAAGATGATCTTTAACCTTCCAACCCCTTAACATCCTGTGAGTCCGTGATTCTCTGTTTGGGCAGACATGCAGCACTTTGCCCGTCCCTCTCCCGCCGGCAGCTGCTCCAATCCCACCATTCAGTCGAGGCTGGACTGGGTCCATGGAGGTGCCCAGGAGCGAAGTGAGTGGAGCGCCGGGAGATGGCGTTGGGTCCCTGTGGATCAAAGCTCCGGCTGTGCCCGGCCGGGGTGGAGCATGCAGCCCCCACACAGCCCCCACTCAGCCCCACGCGGCCCCCACACAGCCCCACACAGCCCCACAC